GTTAATTTGTAAAAGTTAAGATTGAATTTGGTATTTGTATCTAATTTTTGTTATTAGTATTAGTATTAGTATCTACTTTCAGGTATATTTATTTAGTGTTATTATAAATGTTAAAAAATTTAATTGTAGTACGGAATCGAATATAACCGAATCGAACCGAACCCGAACGGTTATATCTGGACTGACGGTTCTATTTACTAAATACCCAAAAATTTCTGGAACCAAACAAAAAAGAACTGAACCGAACTGACCCGCTCCCAACCCTGGCCGAAGCGATGGAGCATGACAAAAGTCAAAATTGAAGACCAAGTGACGACCCACACGTGAAGAGATTGAATTTATTTGAGATCAATTTGGAATGATTGATGGTACCTTTGTAATGAGTGGAATATCAAAGTCTTATCAGTGTAGGTTGTAAGGTGGCTCTCCGTAGGAACATTAAATGCATTATAGGCTAGTGAGTTCAAATTAATGTTTAAGATTGGATGCTTCAGTTCAGGAGATGTAGCCACATACATATTCATCCAATGAACACCATTTGATAAGTAATACAATAAATACCTCCCCCTTGTATCATTTGAAATGGATGCAACTTAAGACACTTAAAGCTACTCTGTCTTCTTGAGTATGTGTTTGTTTTGATAGAGTTAGAGATGGCAACAAAATCTTCCCCGCCCCGAATAGGGGCAAAAAAACCCGCACTGACGGGTTGATAGGGTGAGGCGTAAGTCGTCGCCCCGTCATGAGTTGCAGAGCGGGACAGGGCGAGGATGCCCCTCCCCTTGAAGAAAAAAACAAAAATTAATGGCATTAATTTTTTTGAATTTTAAAATTTAGAATTTGTGTTTTAACTTTTATTCTTTAATAATAGCATAACTCGAATTTTTAAAATGTAAAAAAAATATAATAATAATAATAGTAATTAATAAAAAAATAAATGGGACAATCCCTCCCCCCTGCCCAGTGTAAGGCGGGGTGGGTTTGGGGTTTTTTCTTGGCTTGGCGGGGTGGGGAGGGTGCCCCGAACCCGCCCCACTGCCATCCCTAGATAGAGTTTAGGTTACTTTGCTTCCTTTGAGTTGATCGTTCTTAAAATCATTGTCGGAGTCTGAACATATTTGTCTCATGTTATAAAGCTTTTTCCAGGTCCAAATCTTGAGTATCGCCATCTAGCAGCCTGTCCACACGTGTTGGAATTTACTTATGTGTACACGAGTAAGCTCGATATGTGCTGTGTGCGTTATCCTAAGAGAAAACGAGGTCAACACATGAGATTACAACAAAACTCAAAAAAACTCATCAAAATCCAAAAATGCACAGATTTCTCACCGTTTGACCAAGAGGATAGAGTGAATAGCAACGATTGAAAAAAACAAGAAATAGATACAGTAGAAGCGATAGAAGAGTCAAGTGCGAGAAATCTAGAGAATAGAAAAGCGTAGAGAACAAGTAATGACCAAAAACCAAAAAACAAATCGAACACAAAAAATTAACTAAAAATTTCAAAATGTTTATAAACCCTGCAAAAAAACTAAACGAAAGCAAAACGAAGAGGGCGAGTCATATGAAAAAAAATAAATGAATACAAGAAAATCAATTTGAAAAAATGAACATACGAAAATGTACAGGTTTCTTACCCCAACATGAAAATCATCTAAATCGGTAGAAGCTATGATGGAAATTTGCAGGACAAAAAAGTCAAGATCATGATTATAGGAACTCTTTAAAAGATCTGGAGGTAATCATATGGCAGAAAACGGATCGCAAGAGGGATGAGTTTAAATTGTAGAATAATTATTCACATAAACCATACAGATGCTGCATTGGCAGCACCTGTATGGTACATTTTCTGTCCATATTCAGTCCAAAACCAATTTATTTTTGCTAAGTATTGTTCTGTAAAAATTATGTAAAAACCATAAGCAATTGATGGGAGAGAGACATATGTGGATTAGTATAATTATTGGAATATTCAGGATTCCAAGAGAAACCATACGAAGTCGTCTTGGTATTCACGCGAGGGGTTCATTCTGATTCAAAACGACATCATTTTTAACACGAGCAAAATGATGTCATTTCTAGACCAACACAAATGAACAGTTGCAATGCACTGCCTCTTTAGAATTAGATTAGAAAATCTTTATAATATATTCTTATTTTTTAAAAGCCATCCCCAACAGACTGAAAAGGAAATCGGTGCTTAGGAATTGAACAAGGAAAGCTACAGAACGTAGCATGGCAATGGGCATTGGTGTGATGTAAATGGCATTTAATCTTTATAGCCATCTACCCATATTTGATTGATTTCACCTAAGATAGCCAAACTTATTGGAATCGTAGCCATTGCAGTCACTTAATTATTTGCAATAATTGGTAAGAGAATTAATTTGTCATTATTGATCTTCAATCCTTGTCAGATCAATTGTCTAGTGGAAAGGTTGAAAAATCTTGAGAAGTCCGTATTTGAATTACAATCATGTTTCGTATGTAATCACAAATGATAATTTCGTTGACAACATGTCATGTGGAAAATTGTTATTAGACAATTTGAAAAACACTTGTTTTTGCAACCATCAATTTTTTGATAACTCATACGTTGTCAATCATATTATTATTATTTATGGTTGTACAAATAGATCTTCTTTAGATTCTGTACTCCATCACTAGATTTTCGTCTGCATACAATTTGTTCAGAACTAGAAACTCTAATTATATACCATCGAGAACAACAAATTTGCAAAAAGAAAATAGAAATATAAGAATATGAGAAATTTGTAGATGTTCACATTAATGTGAGACTATGTTACTATGACGGAAAGAAATTTACAAAAGAAAAATCAAACGCCCTACTTTCTCTAACTTATCTCACTTTTGGATGATAATACAAAACCATAATGACAGTTTCCTATTTATTAAGAGAGAGAGAGAGGATAAAATCGAAATTACAACTATGAAATTTCACATACGGAGTTTGCAAGGTGACAATAATTATGCTTCGCAATTAACATTTTATTTATTTATTTTTTTTAAATGAACTTAACATTATTAGTTAGGGTGAATATTATTTTTAGGGAAGCACAATAATTTTATTGCCTTGAAGACACAATTAATGTCGATCATGTTACCTAAATCGAACCAAATTCACGTATCGACGTCATAATCAAATAGACACTTCAAGTGAGTCTAACATTTGATACATGTATGTGTACAGTTACCATCTAATTACAATTTGTATAATTGGAGTTACTTGTGTTGGAAATACCACCGGGGTTGGAGAAGAAACTCACCAAAGTATGCAGCAACAAGATGAACAAAGCACGAACAAACCCAAATCAAAATTAAAGGTCCAAACGCGTAATCGCTATCCTCAAACTACATTTGCCCCCACTCCAAATAATTGAGAAGCTTAAGGATTTCCGGCAAATGGTTTGAAGGATTGATCAAGCCTTATTACAGAAAACATCAAAGCACAAATATTTTCCACCCATACTTGAAGAACACAAAGGGTTTTGAATATGAAGAAAATATAATTTCTATTGCAATGGAATGATTAATGTTTAAATAATGCTTTTTTCATTATTTTCTATTGAACTAAGATCACCTATTTATATCCCTCAAAAGTTGTCAACTGAATGGTGCCAACATAGGATGAAAAGCCACCAAGTTTAAATTGATAACGGCTATAAACGGAAAAAAAACTGCCAAGTTTTTACTCTATGCGACCGCAAAGAGCAACTCTATGCGGTCACATAGAGTAGCTCAAACGGGGACAGCCAGTCCCCGTTAATGGCCATGCGACCGCATGGCCAAATGGCCTATGCGATAGGCCAAGAATTTGGCCTCCAATCCCCTTTTTTCATTCCAACTTGTTTTTTATTAATTTGAACAACTTGCACTACTGTACTTAACAGTGCTAACAGTGAGCTTGAAACCAAACATTCACAGATAATCGGTTAAATGATCTCCTGTTTATACACTGTTGGATTTACAGTTTTCATCCGCTCTTCAATCTCCATTCTTTAGAGAAGTTCTTCGAACAAACCTAGGCTTCCGAAAGTAAAGCTGTCAAGACCACTAAAGACAAGAAGTTGCAATGGCGGGATTCTCTCCTCGGAGAAATTGCCCTAACTATTTAATACTGACAATAACATCTAGTTTATTATAATCGTGGGTCGATGTTAAAACACAAGCATCAAGCGTTCGAGCTTCATTTCATTTCTTTACACTGCATTAAAGTGAATCTATCAATGATTTTCATCTTGACATTAGAATATTGGACCATCTTTTGCCTTGCTAAAATGTCACATGCTTTGTGGGCTTCTCTAATGGCTAGAAATTTGAGTATGTATCATATTTTATCTTCCTGTTTGCCCATAACCTGACAGGCTAGCTACTGAAAGCAGTGTCCATTAGTTTGGACAGAAGTGTTTTTCTTTTCTCTGTATATATTTACTTTTTGGCTTATTTTAAAAAAAAAAAAAGGTCATTAGGTATCGCGGATGCCAAAATATGAGAAGTTAGTATAACATTGTAGCATATTGAATCATAGTATTTTCAAGCTTCCTAACAAAATTCCGCTTACACGTTTCATAGTCGGTGCCCAAGCCAGAGTAAAAGAGGAGGGTTGAGGTAGGTTGACAGTCTTCGTCAAATTATATGACATAAATCCTATCATAAAAAAGCCGACGAATTTGAAATCCAACACAATTCCAAAGTATTTAAGATTATGATGCAGATTAGAAACAGCAACAAAGGACAGTTCTCTAAGTTCATCTCAATAAATTTTCCCCAACTCCTGCTAATTAGTTAAGAAATTATGCCTGTCAATGTTTTCAAAATAAAAACTCCTTTGTTTTGGCTTAGATTCCTCCTCAAAAGCCTTTGTCACATTTCTACAGCGAAGAATCACTTGTCCCCAAGAATCCGAATCAAAACTTCAAAAGAATTCTTGTTTTTCCCATAAACAAGATGAGCCTTTGGATGCAACTTTGATCTTTCATATGGAGGAAGCACTGTTAAAGTCATCATCTCTATTTCCTTACTTCATGCTGGTGGCGTTTGAAGCAGGAAGCCTCATACGAGCTCTAGTTCTTTTTCTTTCCTATCCATTTGTTTGTCTATTTGGCAAGGAAATAGGGATCAGGATTATGGTTTTAATATGTTTCTGTGGGATAAAGAAAGCAAATTATCGGCTCGGAAGATCTGTTCTGCCTAAGTTCTTTCTTAAAGATGTTGGTTATGAAGGCTTCCAAGTTGTGATGAAGTACAAGAAAAAGGTAGCAGTGAGTGATATGCCTAATCTGATGGTCGAAGGATTTTTAAGGGATTGTTTGGATGTAAATGCTGTTGTTGGAAGAGATTTGAAGGTGGTTTTCGGGTAAAGAGAGACATAAATATTGTTATGAATGAGATAATTGGACAAGAAAATGTGAATCCTCCTCTAGTAGGTTTTGATTCTGCTAACAAGTCTCTTAATCAGCAAACTTTTTCTCATTGCAAGGTTGGTAGTACTAGGATCTTATGTCAAAATGTTCTGTTCGATCATTTTTCTGAAATTTTAGTGAATGATCTTGTGTTTTCTATTGTGACAGGAGGTCTATTCGGTAAATTCAGCAGAGAAGACGAGCTGGCGAATACTTCCACGGGAAAATTATCCGAAGCCATTAATTTTCCACGATGGAAGATTGGCCTTTAGGCCGACGTATTCTGCTACATTGTCTATGTTCGTATGGTTACCATTTGGTTTTCTCCTTAGCATCATTAGGCTGTTTGTCGCCTCATTTCTACCTTACAAAGTAGCCATCCCAATCTTGGCCTTTACTGGGATGGTAGGTTCAATATCTTGACGACGTTCCATAGATCCCACGATCTGGGAGGCAAAAACCCGAGGTGTAGTTTATGTATCGAATCACAGAACGCTTCTAGATCCAATCTACATTTCATTGGCACTCATGAAACCAGTCATTGCTGTTACGTACAGTATAAGCAGAATATCGGAGCTTCTCTCACCGTTAAAATGCATTCGACTAACTAGAGATCGGGAAAAGGACTTGAAGATGATGGAGGAAATTCTTTCCCATGGGAATATTGTAGTTTGCCCAGAGGGAACCACTTGCAGGGAGCCATTTGCTGAGGTTTAGCCCTTTGTTCGCTGAATTGAGCGACGATATAGTTCCATTGCCCTCGACTCAAAAGTGGGCATGTTTTATGGAACAACTGCAAGTGGATACAAAACTTTAGATCCTCTATTCTTTCTCTTGAATCCTCGTCCGATTTACACTGTCAATTTTCTCGAGAAGTTACCAAAATCCCACGCGTGTACCAGTGGTGAATTATCGAAGTTTGAAGTAGCCAATTATGTGCAGAATGAGATAGCAAAAGCCTTGGGATTTGAATGCACAAACCTTACAAGGAAAGAGAAGTACATGATTTTAGCAGGTAATGAAGGGAATATTTGAAACTATCATCTATTACTTATATCTACACAATGTGGTGTACAAAAAGAAAACTATTCGAGTTTATTATTATTATTATTATGATCATCATCATCATCATCATCATCATCATCAAAATTTAGTGAAAACATAAAAAAAATGCACATTAACATGTTGGCGTTTTACATAGTTTCAACAATGTGTCGTTATTGTTAAATATAGCTCAATCTTAGTATTCGATGATGCTGTAACATGTGAATTTTTTACATTTACAGCATTTATAGAGGTACGAAAAGTTGGACTTTTATGATTTGAAAATCATACGAATTCGAAGAAAGATTCTCCCCTATGTTGTTGTATGCTTTGCAAATAGTTGAGAATTTGAGTACTGACTTGCACCATCAGACAATATCATTTGACACTAACAGTACAAGAAACAGCATACCGTGTACTACCTGATCTTGTCCAATTCTTTGATTTCCTTGTCATGCATTCGTGCTCCTAAAGTGTCATTCACGAGCAATTTCATCTAGCTAAAGTTGCCTGATCTGATGGAATTATGATGTTGTCGCTTGTTATTTGTTAATGAAGGTAATTCAAGAAACTGAAAATGGAGATAAAAAATGTTTTGTAAGACTCAAAAGTCCAATTCCCTAGACTTGTGTAATTAGTATCCGAATTAAATTAATTGTAAGTAAAAAAATTAATTATAAGTAAAAAAATCACTCTTAAGTTTAAAAAATTCACTTATAGGTAGACAATTTACTTATAAGTTCAAAATTTTACTTATGAGTAAAAAAATTCATACAATAAATTATATGAAAAAAAATCACTTAATAAGTTCAAAAATTCTTACAAAAAATATTGCCATAAATGTTTTAATTTTTCATTACTAGTGTAGTCTTCTAATACAGTGTGACATTAAAAGCTTGTAATACAGTATGGCGTCAAACACTATGTTAGAACAATCCTCATTAATCCACCTCAATACAATCCCCTAATCGTATCCCTCTTAATTATATTCCCCTAATTTAATACAGTGTACCTAACATGACTTAATATTAGTATCAATTTAAACAGAAGAGAAATAGGAAAATGATGTTTTCTTGAAAATATGTTTTCTTACAATTAATCTTTGATCAATAATGGCATCTCTGATTCATACAATTGAAATGGAATGGCTTATTTTCAAGATTTTAGAAGATTCTCCTTAGGGAAGATTTCATAACTAAGATGTTTAGTTTTACCAATTTCAAATTTAAGAACTTAAGTTTAAAATTTCAAATTTCAGATATTTTTAAAATTTATTTATAAATTAATTGATTAAACATATATTTTATTCATTAAATATATTAAGGTTTCAATTATGTTTAAAATTTCAAATTTCAAAATTTTTTTTTTAATTTTATTTATAAATTAATTAATTAAACATATATTTTATTAGTTAAATATATTAAGGTCACAAATTCCTTATAATTGTCACATATTATTAATTGGTCACAAAGCACAATTTTTATATCTCACAAATTATTTTACGGTCACAATTCAAAAAATTTATAGGTTACAATTTGTTCATCGATCACAAATCAAAATTTTATACGTCACAATTTATCCATCAGTCACAAATCTATCTAATTAATAATCACAACTTATTTATTGGTCACAAATCACAAATTTTATAAGTCACAACTTATTTTATGGTCACAAAATATCAAATTAATTGATCACAATTTATATTTAGATCACAATTAATCAAATTATTGGTTAAAAATTAATAATTTTTTAGGTCACACAATATGTATTAGTCACAATTTATTTGTTTTATTAGTCACATTGTTTATTGGTCACACACCAACCTATTTATTGGTCACAATCAACCAAATCATTTGTGACCACTACCATACCATTGCAAATCAAAAAATGTATAGGTCACAATTCATTTATCGGTCACAAATCACAAATTTTATAGGTTACAACTTATTTCACGATCATAAATTGTCAAATTAACTGATCACAATTTATCAAATTCTAGTCACAGTTACAAATTTAGTCATATTCACACATTTTTCTTAGTCACATATTATTTAATGGTTACAAATTAATAATTTATTCATCACAACATCCAAAACATTTGGTCACAAAAACTATTCCCTTCCCCTGGCACCACCGCCATGAGCATTGCCTCTAGAACCACCACCACCTCGCCACATCACCATAGCCCCTCCAAACAAGCACACCACTTCCACAACATTCTACCACACCCACAAACACCACCATCGCACTAAAAATAACAAATAAAAATTATCCTAAATTACAGCCCCTCAAACCACCACACCACCGTCGCACAACGCACCACCACATCTACAGACACCACCACCGCACCAATAATCACAAATGAAAATCATCCTAAAATACCAAATATGTCAACTAAGCAAGGAGGAAGAAGAAACTAACCCCAAAACCACGGCTAGCGTTGTTGCAGCGACGATCTCAACACCAGCGATGCTTAGATTAGTACGTTGCCAAACACTACCACACCAACAAAGATCCATTCAACACAAAACATGAAAACTATAACCATCAACACCACACAACACCACCGTGTCGCCGCCTTTTCTTGGGTACAGCACCACTCGTTACCACTGCGCATGAACTGCAGCGGTGAGAGGCACCTGCACGTAAAGAATCGTCGGAGATCCATACTGCCTCCGCCTGTTTGGCCGCTACGTATAGTGGCGTGAGCACCTTCGTAGCAGCGTCACTCAATCCACTGCATCAGCATCGTCGTCGCCGTAGTGGAGCTCCTCCTTTCCGGTGGTTGTGTGTGTGTGTGTGTGTGAGAGAGAGAGAGAGAGAGAGGATAGAGATTTAGGGTTTGGTGGGAGTTTGAATCGTTTTATCTGTTTTAATTTTATATTTTTAAAAACTAAATTATTAAAATTTTAATTATCATCTGATTTTTGAAATGAAAACTTATAAATCTGAATTTTGAAATTGCAAATTTAAAATTTTGGTATGGTGTTATTACCTCTTCACCTTATTACTCCAAAACCAAGGACATCCCATATGTCTACTTGTATGTCAAAATAGCCAGGCTCGCCCTCAGCGAGACCTAGGCTGCTCAGCTCAATTGCTGGATCAGCCCAACAAAAAAGAGCGAGGTCCAAACTTGATCACATACTAGTTTTTTAAGTTCTTGTATTTTAAAAATTTTTAGATGAAAACTACAAAAATAAAAAGTTAAAGATGCCTACATGGGTCGGATTGAGGAAGGCTCGTTGTCCAGACTTGTCAGGAACTAACTTGCATTGGTCAGTCTATTTTCACGCTGTTATGGAGATGTAGTTTTTGCCGACCCCTAACCATATGTGTGATTCATAAATTTTTTCATCAGTAGTGGGTTAAACATGCGTTGCACTTTAGTTGGTCAATGTTAAAAATAAGTGTACAGGAGTCTAGTGGGGAGAGACCAGGCCTCTCGAATGCCTTGGATCTCTTCCTACTTTCAGCGTTTTTATTTCAAGGAATAACAGTTCATTTCATAGCTGAATTCTTACTTCACAGGGTCCTAACGTGCTTCTGCTCTGGACCTTTGAAGATATTGATGATGATCTGTGTTGCTGCTGATCACAGAATCTAGTTCAATAGCAGAATTGTAATTGCTATTATTAAGGAATGAGGAAAAAATGTATGATTTATGAACTGTATAAGACTAATTAGTGTAGAACAATATAATCAAGCTTGAATATATTGAAACAGAGAATTGATATCAGAACCATCCCTAAGCTATTCGAGTGGCCTGGGTTCTCTCCTAATTTCTCTCAAAAGCTGGCTGAATTTTCCCCCTTCCAAATGGAACGATACCCTTACTTAAAGGTGAAAGTCTATAAACTTATTGTATTACATTCCCATAATACCCCCCCCAACAACACCACATAACAGAAAATGGAACTAACTACCAATTTGGGGTTATATGAATACCTTACCCTTGAAATTCACTCTGTCCTCAAGGTGATAAACGGGGTTCTCAAAATTTTGTACAATCAAACTATTTCCTTTGGCATGCCCATCACGATTAGAGCTGAAAAGGGATATTTCAACCCAAAGAAGTTAGCAAATCTATTAGCTACGAGTAGTATATTGTGTATGGAAATCTCATAACCTGTCGCTATGATATTCAGACTCGGGTACATGTACATATGTAAGTGTCGGATCTTTTATTTTCTAAAATGTAGAATACGGGAAAATGATTAAAAAGAGTCCAAATTTCGGATACGGGTACGTGGGTACGTCTTTCAAAATTATTTTGAATAGACCAAAATTAATTATTCACAAAGAAGGAAATATATATTGAATAAGAAGTTAAAACGAATAAAATATAATTTTGGGGTTTAATTTTTAATTATAGGAATTACTAAATATTATATAAAATAGAAAATGAGGGAATTGATTGCAATTTGTATTTAGTAGAACATTTAGTAGCTCTATATGAAACCTATTTTCATTTTATACAAAGAAATCCTAAATCACCAATACAGAGAGAGAGAGAAGGAAAAAAGAAGAAGAAAATGGAACGTAAAAAGACATGAGAAGAAAAAGAAGGGAATACCTAGCTAGCGTCCCCACCTTTCTCCACCATCCCGACAGTGATGCTAGGTATATAGAGAGCAAGAAGGGGAAAGAAGAGAGGGGTAAGAAAAGGAAATAAGAAGCAAAAAACGATGAAATGTCCGATTGAAACTTGAAAGATCTGACACATATCCCATATCCATACCCATGTCGTGTCGTGTCGTGTCGTGTCGTGTC